CCACCACATGAGGAACTGTATTCAAGGGTCGCAGCATTAGGAAGGTTAACTTACTGGCCTAGAATAAAGCCTGGATGGATGGAGCCCGAATGCTTGAGTGACTGTGTGGAGCACAGGGCACCCTCACCCCTGACACACAGTGGACCCTCCCTTTGTGAGTGAGACCTACACCTTTTTAAAATTAACTTATATGAGGTATACCCAATATTGAAAGTACCACAAATATCGCAAGTACCACAGACTGTCAAAAAAGCAAACATCTATTTCAGAAAAAGTACACCAAGAGGCTCCTTAGAGGCAAGGATGACAAGCCTTCATCTTACTTACTCGGACATGGTTTCAGGAGCGCCCGTTCCTGGAGAAGAACATCACGCGGAGTGAAGGGGAGGGGCAGCATGGAAGAGGCAGGCCCTCGCCAAGGTGGATTGACGCAGTGGTTACAACTGTGGTTTCAGATATAAGAACATTTGCGAGGATGGCGCCGGACCGGGAGGCATTTCATTCTGGTGTATAAAGGGTGGCTATGAGTAGGAACAGAATTGACGGCACCTGACAGCAACAACAACACCATCATCATCATCCTAGGCGTGTCTCTTAACGCAGCTGATGCTGCTTAGTGTACTTAATTCGTGTCATCAAAGCCCCGGTACCACCGTGGGTTATGCATTGAGCTTTTAAGCCTACGATTAGCAGCTGGAGCCCACGCGCGCTCCTCAGGAGAGAGATGCGGCTTTTCTACTCCCCTATGACTTACAGCCTGTGACCCCCAGTCCCGAGATCTAGTCTGTCCTGTAAGGCCATTATGTGTTGGCATCAACTTGATGGCCGTGAGTTTGGCATTTTGGTTGGTTAATATATAATCTTCTCCAATACCCACATTTTGTGTGTCCTTGGGCCAGGATTAGTGTTCCCAGATGGTGCAATGGGGGAATGCCTTCAGCTGTTGAGTCCAGTGCTGATCACAAGGGTGGAGATTGGCGTGCACCCGGAGGCACCTTGGCAGAAGGACCTGGTGACCCCCTTCTGGAAGCCCGGCCACTGGAAACCCTGGGGGACATTGTTCTCCTTGGAAGTATGTGGTAGCCAGGAGGTGGAGACAAATTGCCAACCCCTGGTTTCCTGGCATCAGGGTTTGTTCGGAGTGCAGTTTTAGCCTTTTGGCTGTATTGCCTTTCCAGAGTGCCACACGGTGTGCATGTACTTCTGGAAGAGGCTAGACCCCTCATCCTGGTCTTTCTAGCACCGGCCTGAGGCAAAGCCAGAGAGGCTGTATCACCCAGGGCACTCTCTGTCTTGTTATGCACCGTGAGAGTGTATTGTGAGGGGTGTGTTACCCTGGAGGGAACAGAACATGAACTTATGGGTAATCCAGAGATGGTAGGCACGCAGAGTAGAATTCCAGGCTCCAGTGAAGTCCTGGTGACCTGTGACTCCCTCCCGTTGGTCAACTGCCACCTGACAGGCCCCCTCTAGCCTTCTAGCTCTGAGCCTCATCGGCTACTTCTATCCGAGAGAGACACAGCGCACGTGATGGTTACTCTGAGCATGGCTCGAGCACTTCGCAGCAACCTCCCACCAAACTGATTCAAGCTGGCCTCCCGGAGCAGCTGGCGGCAGTTCTGTGAGCATTTTTCCAGAAGGTCCTGCCAGCAGCTGTGTCAAACCATGCTGCAGCCAGAGCCAGGCCTGCTGTGATGAGTGGTCTCCAATTCCCTCCCTGAGAGCAACAGGCGCGGACGCACACACTTGGGGAAACAGGGCTGCTCTCACTTGCTCCTGAGGAGGAAGTCCTCGGCCGCGTTTGCTCTCTCATTTGCTTTATGAAATCATGTCTTGCTCTGCGGGGGAGACTCACACAACCCATGAGGCCAATATGTGGCTGGAAGCAGGCTCGCCGTGGCCCACTTCCGTGTCCCTCCACCTGACTGACCAAGCCAGGTGGAGGCTGGGGAGGTAGCCACAACGCAGCGCGGCATGTGGGGGTCAGGGTGAAGGGCTGGCCCAGACTTTCTGGAAGGGTCTTGAAGCCTCACCTGGGCTGCAATTCAGTCTCACTGCTTACCAGCTGGGTGAGGCTTGGCCTGGGGTCCCTTAGCTGCAAAGCGACGGATAATCGGAGCTCTTCCTCGGAATCCATTTGTCGAGTTTACTTCCTTTTCGCTCTCTCTAGTTCAAAGGACCTTCGTCTCAGGGAGCTGAACAGCTCAGCTTCCTCGTACCCCTCCCCTCCCACCGCCCGCTCCCTCCTACTCCACGCTGTACTCAAAGCACCTTTTAGGAAACAGAAAGCTCTGGCTTCCCATTGCTTTTACTATAAAACCCAAGATGAACAGGTTTCGATCTCTAACCTGTGCCTTCTGGTCCCCGTCAACCTCTTCTGTGTTACAGCCCAGCAGGCCAGCTTCTGTCCTCTTGGACTGACTGGGCTCCCTCCACCCCGTCCTTCTGCATGCTCCGTTCCCTTGTTCGGGAATGCGCTGACTAACTCCACCTGCCTTCAGAGCACATCAACTTCCGTGACACCTTCAGTGTAGATCAGGTGGGAAACCTTTTTACTGTCAAAGGTCATTTGGGCATTTATAACATCATTCTCGGGCCAGACGGGGCAAACATTTCATGACCTCACCCCTTAATGTGATGGCTGGGGCTGCTGCTCGTTGGTGAGGTGTGTGATGGGAGTCAAGGAGCGCTGGGGTAGAGCGGTTACACACTGGGCTGCGAGCCTCGTGGCCAGCAGTTTGAAGCCACCGCCAGCAGCTCCTTGGGAGGAAGACAGGGCTTTCTACTCCTGAAAGCAGGGACCGGCTGAAAACCCCACAGGGCGTCTCTATGAACCAGCCTGGACTCCATGGCTGTGAGTCTGGTGCTTGGCTTGGTGATGTTAGTTGGCATTAATGATTTCGCGGGTCCTCCATGGCCCATGGGCTGGACATTCCTGACACTTGGCCTAGGTCATATCCCCAGTCACACACTTCTCTCTTTACAGAGAAGGTGGTCTCTCTGCCACCTTCATTTCTTACTGTAATTATGTGATTAATGTCTGTTCACTCTCTTGGCCATCATTTTTACAAGGAAGGGGCCCAAGGCTTATTTCCACCTACGTTGTTGAGGTCCAGAACCTAGCAAGGAGTCTAGCACAAGGCAGGCTCTCAATAACATGTCACTGGGGGGCTGACAGGTGAGGGTTATATGGAAGCTACGCCCGCACAGCATGCACTTTGATCCTGGCCCTGTAAACACTCCTAAGTGGGAGCTACTGAAGGCAGTGAGGGCAATGGTAGTTCAGGGAGGCCAGGACTTCATGCACAGCCCCCACCTGACTGTCAGCAGAGGCTAGTGGGCTGCTGATGCCGAGCAGGGTTCAGGGGAGCTAAGATGGGCTAGGAAGAAGAGCCTGGTGATCACAAGGAATCCGATCCACAGCTCGTCATGGAGATACCACTCTCATCCTGCACCCATGCCACCTCATAGTGACTGTGCATAGGGTTTCCGAAGTTTCTGCCGGACCAGCCAGCCTCCTCATTCTCCCTCAGAGTGGCTGGTGGGTTTGAACCACTGACCTTGCAGTTTGTTGTCCAGTGCTTACTCTGTAGTGCCACCAGGGCTCCTAATTGGAGGTAGGACACAACTGGGGAAAGTTTGTTAGTTGTGTGTGGGGTCACCTTGAGGTGAGAACCAATTTGAAAACAGCAAACAATAACCTTAATGATTATTCTAAGACATATATGTACTGATCTATAGATGTATATTTACATATATAAATTCTTCTAGACTTTAAGTACTTTTCTTGTGACTGTCCTCAAACCAAAAGCACTGTCACTGAGTCTACTCCAACACATGCAAACCCCACACAGGTGTTCTGAGGCTGGAGAACTCTGTAAGAGCAGACAGACTCATCTTTCTCCCTTGTAGTGGCTGGTGGGTTTGAATCATCTACCTTGAAGTTAGTAGTCGAATGCTTACCTGACAGTGCCGTCAGAACTCCTTTGGGGTTCTTGTAGGTAGACAAATTTTGGGGCAAACGGATCTGACCTGTAAGAAACACACACACACACACACACACACAGACACACACACACACACACACACGGATTCTGAGTGTAGCAAGTGTTTGGTCTCAATTTCCTGTCAGCATCACACACACACACACACACACACACACACACACACACACAGCCCTGCAGCATAAATATCGCCTTTCAAAGAGTTGTCTTTCAGGAAAACAAATTTTGGGGCAAACGGATATTTCCTGTCAGAAACACACACACACACACACACACACACACACACACACACACGGATTCTGAGTGTGGCAAGTGTTTGGCCTCAATTTCCGGTCAGCATCTCCCAGAACTAGCCTGTATCTGTAATGAGTATTGAGAAATCTGAAGGGGTCCACACACAGGTGGGCCATGCTGCCCACCCACCTACCTGCCTACTACTAGCAGCAGGCTCAGACTCTGTGCTCCTGCTTCGTGCAACGATTGTTCTAGAAGTGAGAGCTGTCTTGGGAGCCACGGGCTACCTCTAACAAAACCCCAAAGCTACTGACATCGCGCCAATTCTGACAGAGTAACCCTACGAAGGGTTTCTGAGATTGTCTACCTTGACGTGGGCCAAGCAGAGAGCCTCATCTTTCTTTTTCAGAGCAGCCGGTTGGGGTCCACCCACCAGCCTTTCCACTGACCATCAACGCGTCTAACCCACAGAGCCCCCAGGGCACCGTTACCACTTTAACAAAGCACAAACTCTTGCTGCCAATGAGTCAGTGTTGACTTTCAGTTCTCTGCTGTGGCTTTCCAAGACTGTAACTGTCTACAAGAGTAGAAAGCCCAGTCTTTCTCCGATGGAGCTGCTGGTGGTGTTGAATTGCCGACCCTGTGTATCACAACCCAATGCATAACCACTACACCAAGTATCCCCCAAGCACCCCCCAAACCAACTCAGCCTCTTTCTTGCTCATCTCTCGTCTCAAATCATTTCCACAGAAGACCAGTGTATCCACAGGAGTTTTAGAGACTTTATTTATGTATAAACAATTTAAACACTTTGCCATAAATTATCTTTGCCTGTCCCTAGTCTTTGCTTAGCAGCAAATTAAAATTAATATAAAAACTCGATGAACAATTCATACATGTATATTACAAAAAAGTTCCTGTACCAAAGTTCTTATTAGACTTTTTTTTTTGTTTTGTTTTCCGTTTTTTTAAAATTTTTTTTTTGTGTGTGTGTGGTTTTTTTTTTTTTCCTCTCCTCGTGACGGTTCATGTGATTGTCTCAGTTTCGGGACCAAACAAACACACTAATAATTTTAAATCTGAAACAGTGATTGTACCTTGCGGCACATGTATGTACAGGGTGATCTGAAGTGGTGCCCGTTAGCAAAAGAGTGCCACAATGCCACACCTCTACTGCAACTGATACCCACAAACTACGGAATCTAAACAGGCTACACCCTGTAACTGTGTATTACTGTCCACAATGGAATCTTCAAAGACAAAAGAGTATGAACTTTATCTGCAGTGAGTATAGCCACCATTTTGAATTACATTTTACACTCTGCGCTCAAATAAGTTTCCTCAAGCCAGACTAAGTGGGGCCCTGAGGGTTAGGTGCTGGGTGGTGTAATTTCGCGTGGGTTTTTGATATCGATTTCTTTTGTTTGCTTTCTCTCTCGTGCTTGTGTTTTGTTTGCTTGTTCTCTTTAAAAAGTGCTCACTCTTCCACGTGTATTCCCTCCCCGCCCCAGTCGCTACACACAAATCACCCCGGAGTCGTGTTGTCAATGCACCTATGTTTGCTTAAACGAACGTGTCTGAAGTCTTTGTCCAACAAAGCAGGCTGCGTGGCCCTCCGCTGCGCGGGGTCGCCGGCCGCGTGGGTGTCTGGCGTCGCTCACGTTGTCACCGAGTGAGGCGATGGGGTAGGAGGCCTCCTCAGGTTCATGTCCTCTGTCTGTTGGTCAGTGTGTTTGGTTATCATAGTCTTCTTATGGTGACGGGTTGTTTCTCGTAGCCCTTTTGGGCGTGTGCGTTGGCCTCTCTCTGTTTTTTTTGTTTGTCTCTCTTCTGTGTAGACCCAGAACAAGTGGGTCGGATGTCAGGGGAACTTGGGAACATGGTGTGTGTGTGTCTGTTCGTTCGTTCATTCCTTTGTTTTCGTTTTCCTCAGAGTGCTCAGCCAGGCTTTAGTCTACTTCAGGAGGTGGGGCTTCTCGTGTGGGCAGTAGCATTTTAACTCAAAAAATGTGAGCTTCCTTGCCACTTGGGATCCTAAAGCAGCCCGGCCTCGGTGCCCCTGTTAGGCTTTCGTCTCCTTAGGAGCGGAGACAACAGTGACTCCTGCTGAGCCATCCAGACGAGGGATGGCAGCAGGTGACTTTGTTACCTCTTTCCCATCTCATTCTGTCTTAAAAACTGGATGTTGCTGCTACTGTCTGCCAGCTCGGGGTACTGCTCTACAGGAAGGACGTAGTACCCCTCATAGCCTTGCACCCGCCCAGTACTCAGGAGCTGCTGCTTCTCGCCCTCCGTCCACAGGCGGCTCCCTTCTCTCCCGTCCCGGGCTTTCTGCTGCTCCTTGGCCCAGGCGGTGCCCAGGGCCCTTTGTCTGGCCTGGTCCAGGACGCGGGCCTTCTCTTCGTCCAGGGTGTCTGGGGTGAGGCCGTAGCGGATGCTGAGCAGCAGTGTGGAGTACTGGAACTCAATGTTGGTGAACCTTCGAGTCCTGCCGTTGACCAGCAGTGTGGGCTGCAACACGGTCACGTTCACGCCGCTCTCCAGCACCTTGCGGCCGATGGTGGTGCCCAGTGTGATCAGGTCGCCGTCAGCCGCGCCGATCTTCACAAAGTAGTGGGTGTCCTTGCCCTCGATGCTGTAGTGCATCTTGTCCAGGTAGTAGGCGTTGTTGAGCACCGAGGCCACCTTGCGGCTGTCCTCGCTGGCGAGGCTGGACACCCCGGTGGTCACTCGTCCTTCCTTGATGGCGAACATGATGCCTTTCCCGATGATGGGTGTGGTGGTGGCGAACCAGCGGCCCGCTTTCTCCCGGATGCTGGCATGTAGCTTTTTAGAAATGACCTGCCCTTCCAGTGCCAGGAAGGCTTGGTTGTGCCTCTCTGTCGTCTGCTGGACGCCTGTGATGAGCTGTGGGCACAAGGAGACAGAGGCGTGAGAAGATGGGCAGGCACTCATGAGAGGAGGGGCAGAGGGGGAGCATGGGGCTGTTGCGCCGAGGTCCAGGGTTGTGTCTGGGCTGGAACCAGCTCACCTCTGGACTCCGAGAGCCTGGCTAGCTGTGCGGTTCCTGAGAGTATTCCCACCTGCCCCCTCACTGTGCCACTAACCGAAAAGATGGAGGAGGAAGCCTACCACTTTGCTGATTAATGTCTGTGCATTATACACCTACCCTTTTAAGCAAGGGGGGTGCCCGGGGATGGGGAGCAAGCCACCCAGCACTTGGATGATTTGGCAGCTCTCTTGCATACTTCGGGAGGAGGAATAGCCTGACCTGAAGGGTGGGGTGTTTGCCGGGGCGGCGGAGACCCTCTGCTGCTGTGACTTAGGTTCTTTAAGGTGGAGGCTCTGGGTATGCACTCCCTTTCTTGAGTGCGATCTTGCTGAGCCTGGGTGGTGTTAACATGCGGAGTGGCTAACTGAAAGTTCAAGTACACTCAGATGTACCCTAAGGGAAAGGTCTGGTGACTTGCTCCTTAAAAGCCGACCATTGAAACAGAACTCATTTCTGATGGACACACGGAAGTGATGGGCTGCAAGGGCAGCCGGCAGTGTTGGAACTCCATCCGAAAGGCAGAGAATGGGCCCTGGGCTGAGACATGTTCATAGGACTCCCTGGGTGATCCGTGAACATGTGGATGTGCGAGAGGCTCTAGGCTAAGAGCTAATGGTCCCATGAGCCACAGGGCACATCCCCAGATGGGGAGTCAATCGCTTTGGAGCCTCGTCCTGGTTCACACAGGGACAAAAGCACCATTATCTCCTCGGCCTTGAGTCTTCCACTCACAAATTACAACTTATCTCAATTGGTGGTTGGGGGACAGGCTGGGATAATGGGAGAGGCTGTGTTTGGAAAGTAATGGCACTTAGATAAATGAGGGAAATGATGGCTATTCATCCACGGAGTGGTCCCCAAGGGGCAGGGCTGAGAGAACGCCATCCTCAATTACCCAGCCGCTCCTCCTTGCCTCTCTATAGTTACACAATCTGGACAATTATTCAGAGCAGCTGAGACCTTGCAGGCTTTTATCGCCCCAGCACCGGCTCTGCAGAAGGGGCTGAGAGGGACAGCCTCTGGAATACTGATGTCCGCTCCCACCCCGCAGTGGCTGGGCCTCAGCTGCACCCGCCTGGAAACTGACCACCCTTCAGTCATCACAGAGAGAGCCCGGCACTGATTATGTTCTCAAGACTCAATCTGTACACATTTGGGCCGTAAAATACAGAGGTTTTATGCAGGGCATAAAAATGTTCTTTAATGGGACAGAAACGGAAAACCACAGTTTTATTGCTCCCCATAAAAGCCTAAAGGGTTATGATCTTGTAGGCAGTACAGATGGTCGGTGGTTGCTGGATTTCTCGGTGCTGCTGTTAATCAACGAGTGACTCAAGGGTAGAGACGGGACAGATAATTTTTACTACAATTAAGGCAATCTTCGAGGCTGGGAAGACAGCATGACATTCTTTTTTCCAATGAAGCCATGACCTTGCATGCAGCTTTTATACCCAGCGCCGATGTCCCCTCATCTGCTGACGTCCCCTTGGCTCCCAGACAGTGAAGCTTGCAAGAGAGGACAATGACAGGGACTCGGGCCTGTGGCAGGCATGCCTGCTTACCTGTCCATTCTCACTTGCTTGACTCTCAGACAGTTCATAGGGAGGAGGCACGAAATACATTTTGGCTCTTGGAAAACCTGGGATTATGTTGCTCAGCTGAAATCCAAACATCACAAGCCAGCTTTTCACATCTGTGGTGGAAAAACAAAGGAAAGAGTTCTGAAATCAGGATGGATAGAAAGTAGGAAGAGGATCTTAGAGAAAGATAGATAGAGAGAAAATGAGTGGTGGGGTATGGGTGGGGGTTCCCCTCAGAGAGGGAGACCAGGGCTGGAGAATGTCTCCTGGTTCCAAACACACAGATTCTTTAGGTAGGCCATTCCAGGTTTGGTCGATAAATGACCACCATGCCCATTGTTAATGCCAGAACTAGAGTGAGATAGACTGTCCTTCAAATGCCCTCGCTCTGTTACCTGGGCAAGTTCCTGCAGCTCTCTTAAGTCTCTGCTTGCTGGGATGTGAGTTGAGATAATAACTGTACCTATCTCACACTGTTTGCTGTGAGGATTGAATGAGAAAATCCCCATCAAGGGCTTCTATTCCCTGGTACATGCACCAGTCAATGACTATGAACTCCTTCACTTGGCGAGCACATCAGGGCACCTACTATAGGCAGCGGCTATGCTAGAAGCAAGGGGCACTGCGAGCAACACAGTGGATAAGAGATGCTGCCCTGAGTAGGTGCTTCAGGGATGCTGGCTTACTCTGGGAAGGGGATTTCTAGAGCGTGACAGGTGTGGATTGGACAGTTTCTGTCACTGGGGTCCATGTCTCCAGACTCCACTTACCCAGAGAGGTCATGAGAGAGTTCTGCATACTCAGGGCCCAAGATTGAGTCCCTTGATTTGGAAATATTACATCTCTAATCCAGGCACACATTTTTGGAGTAAAACTGCCCCTGCCCAAGTTTCTTTCCTTGGTAATCGATAGAGAGCCTGGGCATCTGTACCTTCCAATCTCTGTAGCATTACCAACACCATCTGCCCAGAGTCCACCAGGATGAATCTCATTCTATGCCTTGTCCCTGCTTATAAAAGTTACCTTATTAGAGATTGAATGTGTTCCCATGAAAATATATGTTGAAGTCTTAACCCCTGGTACCTGAGGTTGTAACCTTGTCTGGAAATACAGTCTTTGACATGTTAACAATTTCTTTGGCATAAGGTTATACCAGAGAATGGTGGGTCTTTATCCCAACGAGTGGCATCTTATCAAAGAGGAACAGGCACAGATCAGGTGAAGACACTGTGTGAAGATCCATCTTTAAGTCAAGAAACACTAAGGATTGCCAAGAATCACCAGAAGCTAGGGCAGAGACATGGAATTATTTCTTCTGCAGAGCCCTCAGAAGGAATCAACATGGCTGGTTCTGTGGTTTGGACTTCCAGACCCCCAAATTAAGGGACGGCAAGTTTGCTTGACTAAGTTATCAAGTTTGTCTTATTTTATTACAGCAGCTCCAGGACACTAAGACGCACCTCAAGATCATGTCCTGAGCTGAAATATTTTTTCTTCTTTACCTCTCCCTCTCCCAATCTCCCCAAACTCTTCCACGGGCCCATTTGGAATTCACATGGACCATCCTCATGTCATTGACCTCTTCTCTGAAGATTTGTGTCCCTTCTTGGTCTTAACTGAAACCATCTCTACCCTGAAGGCACTGCTCTCTCTGCAGTCCCTTCAGCAGTGGCTACTTTCCTCCGATGACTATGTTAAATAACCTCTTACCTCAACCTTGTACATTCGACTCTGTGAAGCGTATTCCCCCGCTTCTTTTTCTCCCTTCACATAGTCCAGTGGAGCCAAAGGGGCTCTAGGGTCGCTGTGGGTTAGGTATTGAGCTGCTAATTGCAAAGTTAGCGCTTCAACCCTCCCAGCCATTCCCTGGTAGAAAGATAAGTCTCTCTTTTGTGTAAAGATTTACAGTTTCAGAGTTCTGGTATACCTATGGTCTCCGTGAGTTGGAATCTATTTGGAGGCAGTGTGCTTTTTTGGTTTTGGACCTGGAGATTCAAGCACTTGTTGTATCAATTATTGACCCCCAGGCCACTCACATGTACTTTCTGAAGTTTCGGCCTCTAGACCACTGTCATTCTATCCAACTCCGCTCCTGAATCAATTCCCAGGTGTTTCCTTATACAAGGGACTGGTCCTTCCAACATCTTCGACCTCCCCTCCTTGCAGGCTGGTTTCCCTTCTCACTTTCCTGGTCACACTCTGGATTTCATTGTCATCACCGGTGAAGGCAATCTCTCCATTACCTCAATTCCATGTAAACCACCCTTGACTACTGCCTCACCCCTTTCTAGCTTACTTCCTATTGTACCATGATAACTCCAACTCTTTGATTCAGGGATTTCTGTCACCCCCAATTTCCTTTTTCACTACCCCTGACGTCCTATTCTTGCCTCCCTTTTATCCAACACAAACTGTATAGCCAATCATTATAATCATTCCCTGTGGATACTCTCTGATCCCTTGCCATCTCTCACTTCATCATATTTGTGTGGCAAAAGTCTCAGTTTTGATTAAATCCAAGTCTTTGCCTCTGCCACAGTTTTATATGGGCAGCTAAATGTGGCTGGAGATCAAACAACAAACAAACATAACCACTCTGCCTGGCACTGCTACAGCCATCATGATGGGTCTCAAGTGTGCGGGCACATCGCACTGCCTTACTCTTGCTTTGCTTCTTCCACTCTCCTTGATGATTTCATATCTTCTCCTCTTTTCCTAAACCGCCACCATCTCTCCTGTTCTCTCTCAGCACCTGATGGTGTTTCCCATTCTCCTGAGACAACGGATGCAGCCAGAGGAGAATTTACTGGCTCAAAACTCTCTTTACATTTACTGGCCAATCAGCCGCTGTCCCCACCTTCCCTGCCTTCTTCCAGTCATTATAGACGAGCTGTTGAAGTTCAAACCCTCCATGGCACAGCAACCACTGACACTCATCTTTTCTTGCTCTCTCAAGGACGTCTTTCCAGCAATTCATTCTCCCACATCAGCAAACGCTCCCTCTCGTAATGGATCAATCCCATCAGCATGCAAACATGCTTCTAAGTCTCTTATAAAAACAACTCCTCTTGTCCCTACTTTTCCTTTTAGTTACCACCATGGCTCACTCTTCCTCTCGGGGAAGCACACCTCAAACGTGGACTAACTCTCGATGCTCACTGTCACCTCTTCCTGTTGTCCTTTGAGGCAGGCTTTGACTCTAACATTCCACTGAACAACTCTGGTCATGGCTGAACGACCTTGCAGAACGACCTCCATGTTGCCCCTTTTAATGTCAGTCTTGGTCCTCTTCTCAGTTAACCTATCAGGAGTGTTACTTCCCCCTTTACTGGATTTTCTGACAACATATTCTTTGGCTGCTGCTTCTACTTCTGGTAGCCACTCCTCACCTGTTTCTTCCTTATGTCCTTGACCTCTTGATGCTAGAGAATCCTGGGCCCCACCCATGAGTTTTTCCTTCTATTTACATTCATGAACTTGGTGATCTTATGCAGACTGGTCATTTAAATACCATTTACATGCTGAAGGCAGTTCCACACGTTGTAGCTTGATTCCTATGTTGATAACTTCACCCTTTCCCTGAACTATAAATGCATATACCCAGTTGTATCTTCAGCTTTAATATGCTCAAGATTGAACTTCTCATCTTCCTCCCCAAGCCTGCCCTCCCTTCCCATAGTGTCTGTGGCTCTCCCGTCGGCTTTCCTCACTCTCCACACCAAATCTATCAATAAATCCTTTACCTTAAAAAAACAAGAAACAAAAACAACCCAGTAAAGTAAAAGTCACATACATAAAACTAGCTATTCCAGCCCCTTAAAAAAATACATACTGAAGTATCGTCCACGGCATTCGCAATGTTCTGTAGCCATCACCCCAATCTGGATGCATGGATTAAAGTAAAGGGATTTAGCCAACAATTCTACTCGTAGGTATAGACTGCAGAGCACTATAAACCGATATGCAAACAAAATGTGCACAGGAGAGTGTCATCACAATGGACTCTCTGTGCCCATTAGCAGTCCTGCCTCCTGCGCCCCGCCCATCAACCCTCTGTCCACTGCCATTGCCATCCGCATGATTCTGACTCCTAGTGCCCTGCCGGGGAGAGTAGAACTGTTCCTTGGCCGTCTGAGACTCGGCATCCTGATGGTGACAGACAGTCTCATCTTTTTCCAGCAGAGTGGCTGGTAGGTTTGAAACACTGACTTATGGTTGGCAGCTCAATGCTTAACCGAATGGTCAGCTGAAGCGTCTTCTAAAGCCCCTGGCAACCTCTCATCTACTTTCTATCTCTACGGACTTTCCTATTATGGGCATTTCATATGAATCTAGTCAGATGAGACTTTCCCAGCTGTGTCTGGAACCTTTCACTCAGCCCGATACCGAGAAGGGTTGTGCAGCCATCACCAGTCTCCACTTTGGAAACTTTCCTTCCTTCTTGCGCCCATGCCGCTGTTGACTCCCCATTCCCCCTCCCCCCCGCCCTCGGTGCCCTCTGGCAATCACTAATCCAGGTATTGTCTTCATAAATACGCCCACCTGGGATTCTGAAAAACATGTATAACAAGGACCAAAACCAAAGAAAGGGTGCAGTAACAATGGCTGTATTAAGAGAGAAAGACCTCAATCTAAGAAAAAAGCTAAAACAAAAAACATTAAAAATTTAGGATGAATTCAAAATGGATCTAACGACAATTCCCCTTTACAGTGTTCTTTGTCTGCTATTAGATCAGTTCATGGTCCTAGACTATGGACAGTGGGGATTCACCAGGGACTCAATCCATATGGGGACCCGACAAATGGATTTTGGGCTTCTACTATAATCCACAGCATTCTGCAAACTGGGTGTTTAGCTTTTAGCCACTGGTACTGTTCCTTCTTCCAGGTTTGGTTCTTATTATACACAATCCTTAGATCACACAGGCTAGTGGGCTTCTTCATATGGACTTAGCGGACTCCTCGTTTAGATGGCTGCTTGCTTGAAACAAGCCTGTAAGACCCCAGATGCTGTTCTTTCGGATAACAGGGCACACTGGGTTCCTCAGTGTGCTTTGCAATGGCATTCATTATCTTTAGTGATCTCCTCATGAGGGTGAGCAGGACCACATCG